CAATTGTTCGTGTACAGTGGTGGAATTCAGCCAGTTTGCACCACTTTGGAAGAACCGGTTGATAAGTTTCTGAGCAGTTTGGTGAACTGGTTGTTGGAAGAAATCATTAGGGCAGAAAACTGGTTATTAATTTATTTGAATCCCACCACTTCGTGTATACAAGTTTTGGATTATCCTTCCTGCTTGTAGTAGGCTAGGGTTCCTATTAAAACTTCTCTGCATACTTTTCATAACAGGAAAGCCAAAAAAGTGCTGCTTTTTTATCTTCTCTGACTATCCATGGTTTTTCTTTTAAAACTATTTTCCCTCAGCAGTATTTGCTATTTTCTCATGAGTCCAAAGAATACTAATGGGAGCGGCAACATTTTTCTTCCATTTTTTTTCAACCTCTATTACTATAAAAGGCCCTGAACAATTTGACGGGGCACTCATAAAAGGCATGATGAATCCTAGCATCACTTAAACATCAACAACTTCTTACAGTGTTTTATGAGCACATAATCCACAAGAAACGTCTTCACTGCCAAAGATGTTAAAATGCACAAAAAATCACTGTGTTCTCTTTCCAACTGACATAGGATTGAACACACTCAATTGCCCCAGCAGAGCTCTTTTAAGTGCCTGTGATTTAAAATCTAATAGCGAAGCCATTTGAAGTTGTCACATTTACTATGCTTCATTATGTTGTGACCTGAAAGAGGGCATTCATAGAACCTGGAATGCCTTCCTAGTTCATTTGTGGTTAGAACTGAAATTATAACTTTCAGCACCAAGTTAAACAACATCTACTCATGTAAACTTTTAGCTTAAATTTGGGGGTTTTTTTCCTTTCTGTTTTGTTTTGCCATTAATGTTCTGCATTATGGAACTTTATGGATTTAAACATAGAGATGTTTTACTGTGAAAGTATGAAAACATTAGAGGTGGTATTCAATTGGTTCTCTCCTGTTTGGGCGAACCAGTAGCAGTGGCTGCGGGAGGCTCTGCCCACCCACCCCGATATTATGCATGAGCACTGCACATGCTCACATTTGCAAACCGGTAGGGAAGGTAAGTGATTCTCACGGCTGGAAAATGTGCATATTTTTTGAAAAATGTAAATTTTATTTTCGTTTGTGTGCAGCAATTTTAAATCAGCTGTAGTCTTATTTTGAAATTATTTCTAACAATGAAAATATCAGATAGAATATTACTTAAAATAGATACCAAAATGAGATGGATATCCAACCTTTTTCAAGCTGAGGATGAAAGACTTCCTTTTAAGTAGCCTGACAGAGGTTTTTCTGTGTGAAGTAGACAGGACCATGGCAAAATAGAATAGAATAACAAAGTTGGAAGGGACCTTGGAGGTCTTCTAGTCCAACCCCCTGCTCAGGCAGGAAACCCTATACCATTTCAGATAAATGGTTGTCCAATCTCTTCTTTAAAACTTCCAGTGTTGGAATTCACAAATTCTGGAGGCAAGTTGTCCCACTAGTTAATTGTTCCGACTGTCAGGAAATTTCTCCTTAGTTCTAAGTTGCTTCTCTCCTTGATTAATTTCCACCCATTGCTTCTTTTCCTACCCTCAGGGGTTTTGGAGAATAGCTTGACTTCCTCTTCTTTATGGCAACTCCTGATATATCAGAACACTGCGGTCATGTCACCACTAGTCCTTCTTTTCATTAAACTAAACTAAATTAAATTAACTAAATTACATTTATTAAACTAAACTATAACTGCATTTAATTTAAGAGTATTACATGACCATTTTTTATTTTTAATAACTTTCCCTTGATATCACATTAAACATTACTGTTCAATACAGGAAGATGTAGCTATACTCAATACTTCCAAGAGTCACAGTATGCACTCCAAAAAAAGGTTATTGAGTCTCAAAATATTCAAGGAACGACATTTAGAAAGCATAATAACATGGGTGTTTCTAACATTGTGCTGAAATCCAACTTCCAATTTCTTTTAAAAACATTTCTTCTGCAAAAGAGGTTTTGTTCTTAAAATACATTAATCCTTCTCTATTTCTATTGTGTTTTGCATCTTCTCTGATGATGTTAAGCTAAAGATCTCATGGAAAGATTGACATCCTTTCCTAGAAAGAAGGTTGTTTTGTTCATAATCACTATGACTACAAGAATCCTTATCCCTCACTACCAGAATTTTACCATGTTTTCTTCTCTTTGACAAAGCCATTTCTTCCCCATCACATTGACTGAATCTTAAGGGACAAAATTAGAAATTAAACCTTCCACATAGGTCCAAAACTCTCCTTACTGAACAGGCCAGTGCACCCTAGAAGACGATCCACTTTTGGATGGTTGGTTGGTTGGTTGGGTGGTTGGATGGTTGGATGATTGGTTGGTTGACTGAGCTTACCTGGGTTATCTGGGTTTTGAAACTAAGCAGAGTTTGACCTGATTAATCCTTGAATAGGAGACCCTCAGAAATTCCAAGCCTGTAAGATAAGATAGGAAGTAACTGTTGTAGCCTCGTAAGTCCTTGGACTTACGAATGACAGCTCGGCGGCATCCAGGCGCGTCTTAGCCAATCAGATGCGCCTGCCGGTTGCCGGGCTGTCATACGCGAGTCCATTGGCTAAACTATCTGGCAGCCAAGTATAAAAGGCT